TTATATTTTGATGGTTAAATCGATTTTAAATATTCAAATAATAATATATTAGGCATTACTGATAATTTTGAATAAAATACTTATAAATTAAATATGAATGTACGATCTTGATTCTAGTTAAAATATTACTAAACTCTAAATAATTATAGCATTGATAATAATTAATAGTTAACAATTATTACCGTATGGACCTTACTTACGTTGAACGTTATAGTGTACAATGGGTATTTTATACACAAAAAATATTGGATAAAAATGAAATTACATTCACATTTAAAATGTAAAACTTTTATTTATTTACAATTTAATCCTTAATTTTAATTAAAAATCATTATGTTAATAATTATTATGTTAATGTTTATAATATATTATATTGTGTATATTAAAAATTCACAAGGTATATTTGTACTTCCTTTTACTGGTACAGGTTTAGATTTTAAGTCGTCATAAAGTTCCCAATTGTTCGTATGATTTCGCTTACAGTAAGATTGATAATGTCCAATACTATGTCTTAATCTACTCATCCCGTGTCTATGTGAACATATGCCCCTCAGTTCATACTTTATGTTATTAATAGTTATCACTGGAGGCACATTTTCCAAACATACTTGCACTTGTTGCGCAACCTCTGTACTTGAATCCTTGTAGACTGCATCTTCTGAAGAATAATTAAATAACTATTTATAACTAACTAATAAATATAATAAAAAAAGTATAGTGATTTTCAAATACCTTCCCAATTAAGTAGTTCGATTAATAGATGCATCGATGAAGCGATTGGTTGAATAGTTTTTATACCTTTACATGTTATCCCGTTTTTATCGACATTATGACATGTGGTATTTTCGGTTAATAATCTTTGTTTTATTTCGTCCTCGAGTGAATTTAAATTACCATTTGTAATATGTAAAGTAATATAAGGTACAGGAATTGGACAATTAGTTGTTTTGTTACAAGTAGTGGTAGTACATTTTATATTATCTAATACAGTTGGATTTTCTACCATCAACTGTTTGAAAATATTTCCAACTGTTGTGTCGCACATTACTAATGTTGTATTATATTCTAACTGTTCAACTCTAGGTTCTAAGTTTTTTATCTATAAAAAAATGAATTACAATAATTTTAATAATTTGTGAACAATAATTGGTTATTCTTCTACATAATAGTCATTTAATCGTAGCTGGTAAATTGCATCCCGCAAAAAAGGTCATAGATATATATTGTGTACAGTGGCGTATCCAGGATTTTTTTTAGGGGGGGGCACACACTGTCTAAAAGTTTACCATATATACTACCTACTACCAAAAACAAAAAAAATAAAATAAACCAAATATTTAATGTTTTTAATGCAAATAATTTGTTTATATTTTCAGTCAGTCAGATTTAAGTTAATATATATATAAATAATAATAAATAGTAATAGTACCTAATTTAATAATAAAAACGGTTTAATCCCAGAAAAATTATAAGTTTATAAAATTATACTCAAAATAGTCAAAATTACACACAAATTATACAATTGTATAAAATTATTTTGACCAATCTATGAGTTGCAATTTTCTTGGTGCTTTTTCTGCAAAATCCTCAATAATTTCAGTTTCTGAAATGACCTCTTTTTTATTTATATTTACTAAAGCTAATCCATTTAGTCTATTTTCAGTCATTGTTGATCTTAAGTAGGTTTTCAGTCGTTTTAAGGTAGAAAAAGTACGTTCTGGCGTAGCTGTTGTAACAGGAAGAGTTGTGAATATTTGTAAAAGCAATTTAATATTAGGCACAATATTTGTACAATAAGGTAAAGTCTCAATAGCGGTTTGAGGTTTATTCACTGTGCTATTTTGTCCATCGTCTTTCCATTGATTTTGCCATATACTTAATTCAGCCTTTAATGTAACAATCGCATTTAAGGGAAGATCATTTTCGTATATTTTTGCAGCCTCCAAAATAGTTTTAGTATCATATTTATTGAAATGTGATGGGATTAACCCTTCAAGTGGAATAATTTCTCTTAACCTTTGATCAAATCGAGTCCTTAATTCACATATAATTTGGTCAATAAATGGAATGAATATAGTTATTTTGTAATAATCTTCCGGATTTGTAACATTCACATTAGCTCTTTGATTTTGTTTGCCACAAACTCGAGGTATTTTAATATCGACGTCTATTTTAGAAGCAATTTTAAGTACTTCACTAAATATATTTTTGAAATGACTATCAACATCTTTACGGATAGATTCTAAAGATTCTCGTACAGTTATAACATCATTTAGTGCTTTTGATAAGTCTTGTTGTTTACTTTGAAGAATTTGACTTAAATTTAATGTATAAGAAAAAATAAAAACTGCTACTTCTAATGAAACAAGAAAATCGCTTTTTCTGATAGCACTACCATACATCGCTGCTTTACTTGATGAATCTGATTTACTACCATTATTTTCATAGTCGTCTAAAGCTTCTATGATGTACAAAAACAATTCTTTGAATGTAATTAATGCATCATGCCTCTCAACCCAACGAGTCTCACATAATGTCTTGAGTTTATTTTTTTTTATATTATTTTTTTCATCTGACTCAATAATAGATTTAAGTTTATTGACACGTATTGCGGAAGCAGAAAAAAAAGTTGAAATTGTAGAAATAATTCCATTCATATTTTTTATTGCGGATACTTCGCATGCTTTGGATAAACACAAATTGAGAGAATGGTTAAAACAATGGGTGTAAAAAGCTAAAGGTTGCTCTTTTAGAATAAGAGCTTGAACACCATTTATTCGTCCAGACATGTTACTACCACCATCGTAACCTTGGCCTCGAATATTTTCAATATTTAAACCTATAGAAACTAGCTTTTGTTCGATCGTATTTTTAATAGCTGTACCAGTAGTTGAAACCATTTCAATAAATCCTAGAAAATCTTCTCGAATAAGCCAAGTCGTTACGTCGACATAACGAACGCAAATAGTCATTTGTTCTAGTGTGGAAACATCAGTTGTTTCGTCACAAAGTATAGAATAGTATTTGGCCATTTTTACTCTTTCAACTATTTTTTTTATAACAAGATTACCTATTACATCAATAATTTCATTTTGAATCACAGAACTAATCATTGTACAATTCTTGGATGAAGTATCAAAATGTGATAAAAGATCTTTGTCACCACTCTCTACGCGAAACGCTAGAAGTGCTCGCAAGGTACCCTGTTCACCGGACAAACAACTGTTCCTTATACTTTCTGATGCCATTGAACCACACTCTCGATGTCCTCTCAAAGATAAATTATTTTTAGCACAAAAAATAATAGTTTTGACAATGGGAATAAGTCGTTTACGGTTGTATTCAATTACTTGCTGTTTGTGTTTATTCAACAATACGTCCACAGATTTTTCAAATCCACTTTCAGTGTTACGTATGAAGTTATTCGCCTTTTGAGCTGCTAGAAGATGATATTCTTTTTTCTCGTGATTTTGTAAATCAACAATTATATTCTTATACTTGACTAACGGTTCTTTAACTAATTTACCTAAACACTAAAAACATATATCTTATTAAATAACTATAAAAATTATTAATTGGATTTACCTATTTACTTTTTACCTGATTTCCTCCGGTAGTCGAAAAAACTACACACCATTTACAATAAGCACCTTGTTTAATTACGCTATAAGCAAGCCATGGAAATGATAGTAAATATTTATACTGAAATTTTCGTTTCCGTTTACCTTCAATACTTATAGGAAAATCGTAAGAAGGTGGAGGTATATATGCATTTTTCAAGCAAGCAGTTATTTCAGAGCTATTTAAAGATCTACTAACTACAAAAGAAGCAATATCGTGCAAAATATGAGTTGTAGTTGAGGCAGAACCATGCAATTCTTTATTCTAAAATATAAACATAAATATATATTTTATATACAATCAAAATATCAAATGACATATTGTAATCATAATATACTAACATCTTCTTGGCTATTTTTTAAATTATCCGTAGTCACTGCGTCTACATTACCAATAATTGAGGACTAAACATGAATCAAATAAAATAGTAAGACTTAAGACCACTAAATTTGAATAATATATATTATAATAATACAAAATTATATTCTTACCGTGTCATTAAAATGTTCAACTTTTTTTTTCTTCGTATTGAAAATTGAATATAACATAGTTCTCTTTTCAGACATACTTATTGCTATTTAATTTATAGTTTTGAATACAAAAAAAATTACTGCTTACTGAATAATTTAATAATTTACACTATGACTAATGACTATTGACTAACTCGTAAAATAATACACATTTTACGTATTTTACGTTAACGATACGGTTGTAGATTTTCTGAATATTGATAAGTGATAACTGATTACACTATTTACACTTTACACAACGAAGATTGTGGTACGGAGACCATTAAACTGTCCATGTCACCAAAACAGCTGTGTTACTCACTGGCGCCCTTTTGAACAAGAACCACGTTAGTGAAACATGATAACAGTAATAGTGATTACTGAATAGTGAATGCTGGTATAAGAGTATTATTGTAGTATGCGTTCATTGCGTTCATGTATACGAATAAATTTAAATCTTTAAAACAGAATCTAGTAAATACGGCCAACGAGGGGGGGCCATGGCCCCCGTGGCCCCCCCCTGGATACGCCACTGATTGTGTAAATTGCGGCCTGAGTATTTATATATTTTACTTCTGAACAATGATATTCAACGTTGGTGTTGTACAGTCAAAACTTGTAAGTGTTTTTTAAAATTTAATAATAATAGTATACTATTATCTATAGATAGCTTTAAAGATCATAACCATCTAAAACTTTCAGAACAAATTATAAATCGTCAAAAACTTAATAACAATTTAAAAAGAAAAGCCGTGATGATATTTTTACTAGGCCATCTAAAATTATTCATTCTGAGTTAAATAATGCTGATGTCGAATCTTTAACTACATAAGACGTAAAATTGATTAAAAGAAATTTACACAATGCTTGAGCTTCTATACTACCAAGATTACCAACCACTTTTTTGGAATTACATAATATTTTTGACAAAATGTTATTTAAAACAAATAAAAATGAAAATTTTTTGTTAGTAAATAGCAAAGAAACAAATATAATAGGTTTCTCTACATTAAGCAATTTAAAAGTGCTATGCGATTCGGATACTATATTTGTAGATGGTACATTCAAAAGTTGTTCAAAATTATACCATCAATTATTTACTGTTCATTGTGCAATAAATCAGTCTTATTTTCCTCTCTTATGTTTCCTTTATTTAAAGAAACATTTATACATGACAAAATGTATGAATTGCAAGCAAAAAAAATTACTCAGTTAGACTACGTATGTGCGGGAATTGTCTTATAAGTTTTTACTAGTTTATTAATTCGAATTTTTATGATACTATTTTTTTCACTATACACATTTTTACTTATTTTTAATATTATATTTTTTAATTTTAAACAAAACAGCAAAACCAATATTTTTAACCATATCAATTATATTTCCAGTCCTAAGTTTGAAAAATGGGAAGTAAAATATTGATTTCGTAACCTTAATATAATTTACATAACAATTACAAATATTTAAGTAGGCAAATATATTAAAATATATCGGGGCCGCAATTTACGTATGTATCAAATATACCCGGGCCGCAATTTACATAAACAATTTTAAACGGGACGCAATTTACAGTGACCCCATTAAATGAGCAAATCAATTAACATTTTATTTTCACTATACACCATGTTATATAAAAAATGATTACCTCATTGATAAATATAATTTTAATTTAATGAAAAAAAAATTAATTAAATATATTATATAACACATTTTTTTTAATATTTCAAATAATTTAACTATAATATTAACCATGGTTTTATTATTTACTTGTACGATAAAGTTTTACCATTATTTCTGCTCTGGTAGAATATGTCTTTGCTGAAATTCCATTCTTTACTATTTCAGCTATGAACTTAAGGAACGTGTTATTTAAGCCATCAACCATAGTATTGTAATTAATACTATCACAGTATGCAACCATTAATACTGATACAGCTGAATCGAACGCACAGGTGTTACTTAGAATTGTTTTTCCGAAGTCCTTAACCACACAACTTTTTATTTCCTCAGCCCTAGAACCGTTTTTTAAAATGGGTAAATTCTTAATTTTTCTTAAATTATTCAATTGAAGGTGTCTAAGATGTGGATTTGGATTTAGATAAGAACGTGTTCTTTTTTTATTATTTGATTTTTTATTCCAGCTTTCAATACATTTATTTTCTTCTACCAAATCATCAACAAATAGGACTTCATCAGAACATCTTAAGCATATAATAGTTTTTCCACTTTGTCCTGGTCTAGTCAGTGAACACGAAGGCAATGTATGAACAGGAATGTCACAGACAGCACATTTTTTAGTTTTATCAGTTGGAATGTTACCTACTGCACATAACGAACATTTTGTGTTTATTTTATTGGAGTTGGTAGAAATACTTCCAATAAAATTGTCGATTTTTTTTTCATAACTTTCATTTAATAGCGTCTTCTGTATGTCATTTAAATTTTCTAAATTTGAAGTGCTTAAACATTTTTCAATTGAATCACACTCTATATTATTTATTTTACTCAAATAACTATTTTTGTGAGGTGGTGAATCGCCTGAATCGGAATACGTATATACATTTTTTGGAGAACTTCCTCTATCCAAATTAAATTCTTCGTAATGTGGTGAATTATTATCAATAATATCAGAATGACTATCAGGATAATATATTGGTAAATTTATTTTTTCTGTGTTAGTCTTTTCATATGGTGGTGATTTGTTTTCATCGGAATGACGAGAATTATCATATATTGGTGAACTTCGTTTATTAATTTCATTTTCGTCATAAAGTAGTAAATTGTCCTTATTGGAATGAATTTCATTATTATTTTGAATTATTGTATTTTTTGGCGATAAACTGTGATTCGACTTTAATAGTGACATACCACGGAGTGAAGTTATATGGCGTTCTAAAAACAACTCAATATCCGTAGGTAATACAATATTTTTAAATGTGACATTTTTTAATTTTTTAAAACTTGATTCAACAGCTGTTGAACTCGCAGTTTCATTTCCATAGCCGAAAATTGGAATCATTATCCCTGACCATAGAGGTACTAGTTTCATACATTTTATTATATGTGGTATTAGTTCGGGTAAATATAACGGGTTGATATTATTTCCGGTTTGTAAATACGATTTACTTTTATCAAAAATTGTTTCAGCCAATTTTTGAAATGGATTGTTTAAGTTACCCAGAGCTTCATTTAAACTTTCCTGAGACTCCGCTGAAAGCATTTTTTCGTCTATTTCGGAATTCAATATATTTTCCAATATTGTTTCATTGTCCATTAAACCAGTTGAACTAATATGAATAATTCTTTGTTTGTGCATTTCACACGGAGTTTCTTTTCCATTCGTACCATCAGTTCCATCTGTTTCATTTGTTAGTATAATGAATAAACTTAATAACAAAGAATACATATCTTCTAGAGATTGACATTTTATTAGCATACATAATGACCGTAGAATTACTTCTCGAACTCTTCTTGATACAGATTTAAGTGGCGGCTATTTAGTTATTAATTTTAAAAAGTGAGCAATATCTGTCCTTATAAAACATCTAGGAATCCAATGATTATTAGATGGTAGATTATTTATTACTAAATCAGCACAAACGTTTATATAATCTTGCAATGAAGAGTACTGAGTAAAGCATTGTACCACTGCTGAAAGTATTGCTAATGACTGATCGCATACTGTTATTTTCGGTAATGGTACATCACACTTCTTCCAATTAGCAAGCCAATTGAAAATTGCCACATTAGTATGTCTTTCACTTAGCATATTACTAATGGTAAAACTAAATTCATTTTCTTCATCATAAACTAGAGCTTCATAAAGGAATATATATTTGGTTTTTTCAGTATCATATTTTTTAAAATTTGAAACTACAGAACCAGTAGCATCTATAATAATTTGTGGACACTTAGATTCACGAACATAATTTCTATATAATTGAATTTGATCTCCAGTATGGTAGTGAAGAAAAAATGGATTAAGACCTATATCTCGAATAACGGTTTTATATTCAGTTTCAGATTTCTTATACATAAAGCGATTAATTTATCTGAATGCCTTTGATTATTTAAGCGTTGACGTCTTTTTAAATTTCTCAAGGCATGGCCAGATGGAATAATAGTTGGTTCATGATCTCCTATACAAATAAATAAATATATAATTTTTAAAAAAAATGTTCAGTTTGTGTAAAAATTATGTATTAAATTACTGATTTAAAAAGTTTCATATAATATCTCGCTAGATTTCAAACTTGCGTTAATAATATAATTTTGAAAAGTAATTTTTATATTTTTTCCTAACCCTTGCCCCTCAAAAAAATAACAAAATCATAAACCATTTATACAAATTATTTTTTTAAATTCTGAATGAAGTAATAAATGCATTGATTTTACAATGTGTTTTTACTTCAAAAATTTTCAAAACATTTTGTCTTTTTTTGAGTTATTTATAGATCACTGAAATTTTCGATTTTTCTAAGTATTTTTTTTTTAAATGTCGATAATTTAAACAGATTTTAGAACAGACTAGTACATTGTATGCGAAACTGCTCCGATATATTAGTATGATTATAGTATTAAACAATTAGGCAAAATGAGTGAAAATGAAAATAATCTTAATTTTAAAAATTTGTTTAACGAAAAAATTAAAAATATTAATTTAAGTGTAAATTCATTGGCCATAGCTAATGAAGAAAATTACAAAAAAATAATAAATGAAGTACTTGAAGCTAAACATAGGAAAAATAAGACTTCATTAGACTACAGACGTTTGAATCGCTACGATATTATAAAAGTAGGTGAAGTTAATAAATTAATATTTCCATTACACAAATCAGAAAATAATGAAGTTAAATACTATTTACATAACGACGAAATATATGATGTTATATTATATTTTATTATTTGTATTATATTTGATTTCAGTAATATGTAGTTTTATAATAATATTTTTTTTATTTGAAAAATTCTTATTTTTATAATATATTTTTAAATTTTGTGATTTGTACAATAATTGTACACTTCGGGATTTGTACAATGATTATTGTACACATCGCGAATTTTATAACACAACTTGTACAATCTAGTTACTTTGTACAGCAACATTGTACACTTCGCAATGTGTACAAAAATCACTGTACAAATCCCGAAGTGTACAATTCCGGACTTTGTATGTAACATATATATATTTTTAGCGTTTGAAGATCAAATATTGACAAAAACTCGTAAAAATCATGAATATTTGCAAATTGTTTTGTAGTTTAAATTTATAAAAAAATGTGTATAAGTACAGCTAAGAGTTTAAAATTGCATACAAGATTTTCCATAAAATTGGTTTACAATAATTTTAAAAGAACCTAATAACGTTGGCCAATCAAAAAGTTGTATACTTAGTTTAAATTTTTACGATTTCATAAAATTCAGTCTAAAATAACGATTTACTATCAAATAATATTTTGATAAAAATAAAACATAAACTTTCTTTCTCACCACCCAATTTATATTTTTTATAATCTTTT